AGTCAACTCAAACAACTAAAAAGTTGTATGCCTCGAGCGAAATCTCGGCAAGACTATAAAGCCCACGACTATAAAAGTCGACTCAAACAACTAAAAAGTTGTATGCCTCGAGCGAAATCTCGGCAAGGCTATAAAATCACACGACTATAAAAGTTGACCCAAACAACCGCAAAATTGTCTCAAACATAACCCGTCAAGGTTGTAATACCTATGGCTACAAAATCACTTAAACTACAAAATGTGTAAGCAAATGAAATGTCGATAAATCTACAACTACGAAGTTATAAGTAAAATCTCGAGGGATGCATGAACACAGCGTTTCGGGAACGTGACAACTTAGGCAAAGATAAAATGAAGAATAACATTTAAAAATAGACTCATTACAAAAGTCGTCTCAACCCTTACAATTCAAAAAATCAGATTGAGACCAGAACAAACAATAAGAATAAACGACAAGAAAAAGGCAATAAGCCTCGAACAAACAACTAAGGTACAACATCTTCGCCGCTCTCCTCAAGGATGGTCACGACCTGATCTTCATGACTAGGCCCGTCAGAGTGGATGGGGGAAGTCAGGGGAGCTTTCAGCTGATGAGTGAGCCTGGCATCTCGGATAGTCTTCGCCTCGAGGCCAGTCCACCAGGGGTAGTCGTCCGGAAGGGACGGATCGCCTTCATAACCATCAGGGTCGGGAAGCGCACGCTTCATTGCCTCCCGATCGAGTTTCCCAGCAAACTCAGACCCCGCCACCACAGCTTCCCATGCGTCGAAAGCATGATCGAAATATTGAACGGCGGCAGGGCAGAGCTTATCGAGGAACTCAGGGGAATTGCAGAAAGCCTTGATGACTTCCTTACGGTAGGCGTTGACAAAGGCAGCGCCTAAGCCAGTCCTTAAGAACGACTTTCGGCCCTGAACGATGCCAATGTCTACCTCATACATGTTTGCCTCCTGAGCCTTCTCAAGGTCGGCCTGGAGCTTCTCGTTGTCATGCAGGGCCACGGCTTTGTCGGCTTTCAACTTGTCGACCAAGGCTTTAGACCCCTCCAGCTCCTTCTTTAACTGGGCATTCTCTCTAAGCTGCGCCTCACATTTGTCCTCGAGGGCCTTAGTGGAAGAAGTGGGGGGTCGAGTACCGGCCTTGAGGCCAGGGAGAGCGGCCGCTAAGAACTACAAAAAAAAAAAGAAAAGAGAAACACAATACGTAAACAATGAGCACAAGAACACACAAACATGAACGACTTAGCTAAGAGAAAAACACATACCCGGGTAAGGCATTGAGTGGCGTAACAAGAACGCTCGTAGTCGTTCCCCTCGACACGAGCCTTGTCGGCCTCAGGAAGCACAGAATGGAGGTAGTCTGCCACCTTATGCGGTTCCGGGTGGTTCCAGAGCTAGGAAGGCATCCGAATCGTCACGTCCTTGTAAGTAACAGACGATTCCGTTAGTTTAGGCGTAGCATTCTCTTCGGCCACCTTATCCTTACCCTTGTCGACCTTACGACGCTTAGGGTCGCCAAGGAGTAGGGGAGGGACGCGATCGTCCTGAGGTCTCTTGCGGGCACTGGGACCCGAGGACTTGCGTTTCCGAGCCAGGGCAGCCGACTGTGTACCGGATCTGCCGGGTGGAATAGGAGCAGTGGGTTGTTTCTTCACCTCGAAACGCTTGAGAGCTTTGACTGAAAACAAAAAGGGGCGAAGGTTAAAAAACAAGAAATAAGACTCGACATTATAAGGAATATTAAGCATCTTACGGGGATCATCGAGGCGAGAGATATCGTCATATAGAACGATTTGGGCATGATTGACCAACTCACGGTCTTTTATTATGCGTCGAGCGCTATAAATACACCTATTCAACTCCTCTAAGAATCTTTCGAAGTCCTCGGATCGAGACCGTTTATTTTGTTTGACTTTGGTACTTATCCAATTATTTGTATAAGGATAAGCACCGACGGGAGGTCGAATGAAGACAAATTTCGACTTCCACTTTGGGATATTTGAATGAAAGATCATCAAGAAAGGTAACGCCGGGACGACGGATCAAACAATGGGCCCCCTTTTGAAGTCGATAACTATAACAGTAATGAAAAAATTCGGCCGAGAAAAAATAAAGAACTATACGAGAAACGACGATAAAAGCTATCATGATACAAAGAGCATTTGGAGAAAACTGATTTATTGGGATTTTATACAAATCGCTTATCTCCAGAAGCTCGGCTTGGATAGGGAAGCGTAGGCCAAAAATGACTTGGTCAATAAAGAAAGTATGGCAACCCTCAGGGGGACAGGCGAAGTCGCTGTCAGGACCCGGAGTAATCAACTCCCAATCGGAGGGAAGCCCGCTAAACTGCCTAAAGCTCTCGACTTGACCCGCAGAGGCATAAGAAAAAGGGTTCAAAGTAGCCAATTTGGCCAAAGTACAGGCTACTGAAAAAATCTTTCGAGGGTCGAGGGGAGTAACTAAAGATACAGGTACAGGACTGGTACTATATACAATGATATCTAACAACCTAAGGGGAATACCTTGAGGAATCAAGTCGAGACGAGGAGAGTTTCCCCGGGGACTCCTTGAGACCTCAACTAGACCACCGTCCAACAAGGCCTGATCATATTCGGCCCAGTCGACCTTCGGGGTCGAAGTACGCGATGAAGAGGCGAAACGTTAACCATCCTACAGCCGGTAATCTCGACTGAGCTTGAGTCAGCTTGGTCAAGGCCCCTGTCGATCAATCTGTCGAGGGTGTCGGGCGAAGAACCGGAGTTTGAAGCTAGAAGAAAAAGAAACAAAGGCAAAGATCAGACATGGCGAAACAGAATCAAGCAAAGCGCAATCGACTCATTTAAGTCGATAGAAATACAAAAAAGGGGAAAGTGGTATGGTGTATTTCAGCGGAAATACGAAGGCAAGACGACATAAAGTCGACTCAGGGAAGGTACAAAAAGAAAGAAAACGAACGCCGATAAGAAGTCGACAT